AGAAAGAGAGGTTACTTACCTGTAAATATGGTTCTCCAAGTGATACTCTGTGAATTCACACATACCCTCCCATCCTCCCCACTGTCCGTCACTGCTACTAGGTGCAAGCCTCAAGACTAGCGATGACGGATATGTGGAACTGGAGGGAAAGGGAGGTTGCTCATGCGCAATAGGGGGCAATGTATCTTTTTGATCTTTCAGATAAAGAGCTCTAGAATATTCCGAACGTTCCATGCAAGCGCGGACAAGACCCAAATGTGTGAATTCACAGAGTATCACTTGGTGAACCATATTTACAGGTAAGTAACCTCTCTTTTCTAAGGCCCACTTGACTTTACTCCAGGATGTCTGGCTCGAGGTCACCAACCACACTATCTGGGTTGTCTGGGACATCCAGATCTTTCTGGTATAATTCCTCTGTGTATTCTTGCCACCTCTTCTTGATGTCTTCTGCCTCTGTTAAGTCCCTACCATTTTTGTCCTTTATCATGCCCATCTCTGCACAAAATTTTCCTTTGATATCTCCAATTTTCTTGAACAGCACGGCATAGCCCATAGCTTCTCTGAATTACTCGAGCCCCTTCGCCATGACAAGGCAGCAATCTGTGAAGGGGTTAAATTTGTATGGTCCCCTAATTATCCTTGGTGCCTCCCATTCTAGAATAACATTTTGTAGAATAGAGCTGCTCTTCTGACTGCCCTCTTCCCATTGCCCTCTCTTTTCAGCTTAAGTTGCTTGCTTCTGTCTTTTAAAGCACTAGAAAAGTTTTTGAATCTATTATGGGTAATAGATAGTTGGCTTACCCTTAAAAAAAAGTTAAGAGAAGTGTTACAAGATGGTAATAGGCGCAACTTACACTGCACATTTCTAGCAAGCATACAGAGTACATGAAGGAGGAATGTGTATATAACCACAACAAAAAGAATGAACTTCAATAGTAATACAGTATAAGGCTTGATGGGAGAAAACTTGTTGCCTTCTTTCTACAACATCTAATGGTATGAACTGCTAACACAGTACCGCCTGATTGATTGATCTTTAACTTCCCTCTGGCTACCAAGCCCATTTTGGGCAGTTCATAACATGCCTAACAGTTCTCGAGAGAAGAAACGCAGATCTTTAGGCAGAAAGCAGGTTGTTTCCATTAACTATTTGGTTTTATTTTAACTGCTCAATTTTCTACATGTCTATTCAAAAGTCATTTTAGAAGTTAGCCTTTAAGGTGCCGCATGTTTTTGTCTTTTGTTTTATTTTGTTTCTTTGGATTTTGCCTGATATACTCAAAAGTAAATTTCTTTGCATCCCAGGCGACGTACTTCCAGGTGAGTACAGGACTGCGGTCCGCTCCTTGTTGCAAATGTCAAAACCCACGCACACCGCAATACGTAGAATCCCATACAGCTTCCGGCGCCTTTATTGGGGGGGGGAGAGAGATGGAGATGTGTGATCACGTGGGCCGAGCCTACCCGGAAGAGCCTTCCGCAGCAACCACGTGAGTTCACGGATGGTTTGGGAAGGGCGATCGGAGCAGCAATGCCGGCAGGCTTAGGGGCCGCGTACGCCTCAGGGGCGGGTCTGTTGGGGGCGCTGGCTGCCTGCTCGGCGAAGATGGCCCTGGGCGGGGATTACCTGCGCGAGGGCTGCGTTGCCGTCCTGGGAGGAGAGGAGGACTCTGCCACTGATGCTTGCGCCTGGGTAAGAGGCGCCCGCTGCTCTTCCTTAACACAGTCTTGAGCTGATTGGCCGGGGCAGCCGCTTCCGAGGAAGGCCGTTTGGTCTCTGGCTTTCGGTGGAAAAAATTGAGTCGAGGCAAGCACACGGAAGCTCGGAAGTCTCCCGGAACCGGACTTCTTTAACTGTATCACGAGCTTTTCCCTTTATGTCTCGTCCACGAAACCTGTTTGGTGTTGTTGTTGTCGTTATTTGGGTCCGATCAACTGTGCGTAGTCTGAAGTAATACTGACATTACAGGTTACTTGCTCTCCACACGATCCCTCGTGTTCCGCAGGAGGAAGCAGGGAATTTTGAAAGCCTGCACAGTTACCCATATGCTTCAGTGGCCCCTATTCTAGAAATGCCTTTTTGTGACATTTTCAGGATAGGGATCGTTGTAATTTGTTGAAGGAAAAATAGAAAGAACCTAGTGCTACTTTGTTATGCGTTATCAGACCACAAACGACTTAATTAGAGTTTTCAAGGCATGTGAGATATTTAAGAAATCGTTTTGCCATTACTGTCCCGCCCCCGTGAGATTCCATGATCAAGCCGAGATTTTAACGCACGTCTCCTGAGTCCTAGTCCATCACTCCATCCATGACACACACACCCCACTGCATTGGATATTGGCATTTCAGAGAGTAGCTGATGTATTTCGGCCGCCTTCAGGGCAGGAAATGTTATGCTGAGTTATGGGTGAAGTTAAGGGTAGATACACAAAAGATTGGGAATTCAGTATAGTGGATTTAAGTCCAGGGAACTTGAATAGTCTCAGCTGGAGTGTACAATTTGAAGCAAATGAGATTTGTTAATCAACTTTCCAGTAAGTACCATTAATTTCAATGCATCAACTCCAGTTAGGACTAGATTTAGATTTTATATCCAGTGTGGTGTAATGGGTAAAGTGACAGATGAGGACTCAAGAGGTCTGGGTTCAAATCCTCACTCAACCACAGAAACTCACTGGGGTGATAGAACTAGTAAAATCACTCCTTAAATATCTCATTTACCTTGAAAGGTAAGTGGGTCCTAAAGGTAAATTAGGTTTGCCATAACGTGTTTCTGACTTTACAGCATATAACATAAATTTACAGCATATAACATAGTAAAGTAGACCTTTATTATGGAGGTCTACTCCACCCAGAGTAGACCTTTGATCTAGATGGGCAGGATAGCAATCCAATAAATAAATAAAATAAATAAAGTTCCATTTAGTCTACACAATTATAATAAATGTTAAAAGCTGCTTCTGAATTTGAGATTAAGAACTATGGGTAAGTGTTATTTGAACTAAATACAATGAATACATTGAAAACCGACAAGGGAGTTCACTCACTGTGCTGTAATGGTTGGGACTGGGATCAGAACAGACCATACAGTTAGCACCTCATCAGAAATGGAACTCCTTTAAGAAGTAAAATACTTTCGTTTCTCCCTGCGCAAGGCTTTTTCAGTGTTGCAAATTGCAAACAAGGTGTTTTTATTTTAAGATTAATCGTCATTTAGTCGTGTCCGACTCTTCATGACCCCATGGACCAGAGCATGCCAGGCCCTCCTATCTTCCACTGCTTCCTGTAGTTGTAAGATTCATCAGCTGGAGGTTAATAGACATTATTTGTCAGTGGTATTGCTCAGGTATAACACTTCTGGAGGAACTGAACTCCAGAGGGGGGCTTTTGTTACCTACTTGTGGTGTTAGCATCTCATATACTTCTGCTCCAAGAGAATGTCTGGTGCTGTGCAATCCAATGCATCTTTGCTCAGAATGAATCCCTGCAGAGTTCAGTGGGGCTTTCTAGTAGGTGTGTTTAGGAGTTTAGGGCTTCATCTTAGAGGAAGAGTGCTGCAGGTAGGAGAGGGATTGTTTTCTAGCTATGATTGCAATTGAAATAGGAAAAAGACTGAGGTTGAAAAAGCTAAGTTTGAGCTCCATATACATTTTATAGTGTTGGCTGACCACCCTTTTAGACCTGTTGTTTATTGAACAGTAGACTTTGGTTTTCTGTTTAAGTTGTGCCTCCTACAAGCCCAGCCCATATATATCATACGTGAACACAAATATTAGCAAACTTGCATAAGCCTGCACTAATGTCCTTCCAAAGGAAATCAACTGTGGGTAAACTCTGTGCTCTAGAACATCTCACTGCTCAAAGAAGTGGGGCGTGTGTAAAAAATAGGCTTAATAAAATTGGTTAAGACAGTTACTACCATTCTTCCTTACTGCATTCATGGAAGAACATTAATGAGCAAAACCCATTGTGTTTCTGGCTTTCCTTGGCCATAGATGAGAAGTACTGTAGGAAAAGCTGTGGCATCCATCATTCCCGCAGTGGCCTACTAGGCAAGTACATGAGGGCATGCTCTGTTCTTAGTCCCTGCCAGCTAGTATTCAGAGACATATTGCATCTGATTCTGGGGATAATATACCAGCATCATGTCTACTAGCCTTTGAAAGCCTTATCACCTCTAATATTAAATAAATAAATAAATATTGGCTAAACCTTTAAAAATCCATCCAAGTTGGGAGTTGTCATCACTATACATCACTGTACTCTGTAGTTGCTTATTCTGTGGTTTTAACTATGCACTAGAATGAAGAAGCACTTCTTAACTTATGAAGTTAAGATGCTTTGTATCAAACTGTGTTTACTATTGATCCTTCTTGGTTGTCCTCTTTTGCTCTAGCAGTCCTAAATAATCTGATATTATCCACAAACCTAGTCATCTTACCGCTCACCCCTTATCACAGTTAATGTGTAAACATAATATCTGGAGTCACCCCTGTCCACATGTTGTTGACACCCTTAGAAGTGGGAATGAGGAATATTTGATTGTTATCTCTAGGGATAGATTTCCTTTGCTTAGAGAGGAACATGTCTTCCTGGCCATTGAGACTTTATGTGCCTGGAAAATGACATGGCTGCTACTGAAATGTTCCTGCCTGTGTGTTGGCTCTATATGTGAGTAAGAAGTCAGGGTACTTCTAAGTTTATTCTGGAAGTAATAGCTGAGCATTCCATTATTTTTCTTCGCAGAAAATGCTTCTTCTCTGGTAGGACTTGATGATGTGTGATAATTTTATCTTTTTAATTAAGCTTTCTGCCAGTTTACCTGGAGTAGGTTTAAAGTTATTTAGCTAATAATTTCCTGAATTCTCCTTTGAAAAGTGGAACATGTGACTCTCCGACTGCTTTCCTTCTTGGCTTCTGTTTGAGGTGGAGCAGGACTTCCCCATTCATTACTCACTTAGAAGACAAAAGCCTCCCGCTGCGCCCCTGTGTAAATGGAGGCACCTTCAGGTGTGGCAGGGGCCCATTTAATCCCCATGCAGGACCAACACCTTTCTGGTCTGTGTATTCACCGGCCATTTGTGTGTGTCCACTTTATGATTGATTCTCCCACCCACACCCTTTTCTTTCCCTTCTCATTTTTTGTTATTGTTGAATCCACCTTATGTAAGCTGGTTGTTGCAGAGGCACACCCACGAAAGCAGCGCTTACATTAGAAAGCAACATGACCATCTGTATTCAGGATGGTTTTCAAGGTCATGTGCACTACTTCTGCCACAACCGTTGTTCAGTGGCACACTCTAGGCATTATCAGGGCCCAAAGATGGGACTGGGTAGTGGAGAGATCCCCCATTATTATTGGCCGGGTGGGGGGGAGAATGAAAGCTCATTGTCATGTTTGAAGATGCTTAGCTAATTTTATTTTTCTGTATCATTGTATTACACAGCTGGAGCTTGACCACTTTGTTGGAAGCACTCGAAAGTAGGACACCCTCAGCCTTAATATGTTTGCCTCCAGAGATAGTTCAGACTTCATTTGATCTAGGACTTTATCTTTCTGGTAGTCCAAGGTATCTCCAAAGCTGTCCTCAGTACTACATTTCAAAGAAATCATTTATTTTTTTCTCTCAGCTTTTTTTAACTGTCCAGCTTTCATTACTCCTATTTTTGTTATATGCTTTTTCCCTACAAAACTGCCCTTCAAAAACTATTTTTCTAATAAAACACTCTGAAGATCACCTTTCAAGTAATATGATTTTGTTCCAAATTATATGGCTATGTCAGGTGTTTCTGTTTTGTTAGGCGGTCAAGAGACCTCTTGACCTACATTTTCTGTGTGTGCGTATGTCTACGAAGAAGGCTGACCATCAGCAAAGATCTTTACATGTGGTGCAATCCCCCACTTATGCGATCTTCACATATCACTCCAGGCAATGATATTTTCATATGGATTATTCTAGGATTTCCTTCCTGACGCTGACTCCCATTCTCTGTAATTATTTAAAGTAAATATAACTTGAAACCTTCAACATAGTTGAGAAACACTAAGCCAGGTCTAGTGTAAACCTTGCTATTTAACTAAGGCATATCCTGAATTCTTGAAGAAAGCTCCTGATAAAAAATGTTTGAGGTACATGATTATCTTGAGTTAGAGATATGCATGGATTTAAAAATGAATTACCAAATTTGCTCAAAAATTGCTAATTCATCAATTGATATTCATACGAATCAAAGGCCCCGACAAATATGAATCAATAAATTTTAAGTGATTTCTGGTTCATTGATTTGTTGGGCTATAAAATGGTCCACCAGGCATCTGGAGACACCGGAATTGCAGAGAAGCTTCCCTAGACTCTCCTCTACAAGCCCTACACATTTGGTGAAGATTGAGTTTTGGATGTTCACCCACAAGGAGAAAAGTTCGCCCCAGGCACCTTGAAACATCAAAATCACAGAGAAGCTCTCGCTGAATCTTCTCTACAGTCCCTCCAAGTTTGGTGAATATTGGGTTTTCCCAAGCCAGCTGCTAAAGGGCACTTTCCTCAGAGGACTCACTTTGTGGGTGTATAACTCAGATGTCTGAAATCCAGTCTTGGGATTGTAGAGGAAAGTCAGGGGAATCTCCTGTAATTTTGATATCCCTAGGTCCTTGGGGAGAATTTTCCTGGTGGGGCACTCTTTGTAGGTGTATAACTCATCCAAAACCCAATCATCATCAAACTTCCAGGGCTTGTAGAGGAGTGTCAGGGGAAGCTTCCCTGCGATTTCATTGTCTCTAGGTCCTTTGGGGAGTGCAGTATTTTTCTTTGCAGCATTGGACTTTCCTTTCACTTCCAGGCACGTCCACAGCTGAGCATCCTTTCGGCTTTAGCCCAACCACTTCATTAGCTCTGGAGCTACTTGTACTTGTCCTCCGCTCTTCCTCAGTAGCATGTTGGATGCAAGTCATGATTGCAAGCTATACTACACTGAAATAAAATCTGACATTTGAAGCAGCTAGGCAATAAGATACTTAGATGTGCCATTCTCAGCAGTTCTCGGCAACAGGTTGATGGCAGAAGAGGTTATGAGTGGTGATCCTCTAGAGAAGCCCCCCACTTTTTATACAGTTTTCCATGGGAACCTGTATTTATTTATGATACCTAAAACTAATTGGCCACCAAATGTTCAGAGGGCAACCAGAAAATTTATTTGGGACAGAATGCTTAAATATTTTTCCAAGCTAAATGGCTTATCAGTCATTTTCCCAGTTCCCTTAATTGTGTTGACTTTTCTCAATGACCCTACAAATACAACACATGCTTCTGAAGTCATGCCTAATTGTTTTCCAAGCTCCCTTTTCCCTAATTGTGTTGATTTTTCTCACTCACACACAAATAAAACACATTCTCCCTGTGCCTACGTGTAATCTCCCCCCTGAGCCATCATGAGCCAGACCGCTTTTGGGGTAAATTTCCCAAAAGCAGGACTTCTAAGAATATTTCTGAAAAGCAGTAAATTTCCCCAAAAGCAGGGCTTCTAAGAATATTTCTGAATAACAACTGAGAGATGTGTTTAAAAAAATTTTAATGACAACAATAGGCCCTTTTCTGAGGCTGTTATATTTTAAGCAGGAAAAGCTTTGGGGAACTGTTGAAGCCTGCTTAAGGGGAGGGGATACAGAGGCCTTTTATAAATACAGGCCCAGGCTGTATGTAGCAGTGTGGAACCAGATACTGTATAATGAAATATCATAAATTGCTGCCTCTCAAAAGTATTCTTTTTATTCAAATTTTATAGGTTTGACAGAGAAACGTTTTATTATGATAGCATTTAAGCCCTAAGTCTCTAGAAACAGCGGATCTGATATTCTCAGTAACTTTTTTTTTAAAAAAAAAGGTATTATTGGAATTTGTTACATTGTTAAAAACGTCAGACATATAATCCCCAGTTCTCCTAGTGATGTAGACCAGTGGTTCTTAACCTTTGTTACTCGGATGTTTTTGAACTGCAACTCCCAAAAACCCCAGCCAGCACAGTTGGTGGTGAAGGCTTCTGGGAGTTGCAGTCCAAAACTCCTGAGTAACCCAAGGTTAAGAACCAGTGATGTAGACAACATGATGCTGGTAAGCAACCAATGTAGGAACATAAAAAGCAGTCTTAAAACGGATCTTTTCACATACCATCCGGAGCATCCTTGAATGGCTTTGTGCACCCCAGGACAGACAAACGTGTCCCTCTTGACCAGAAATTCCTACGCAGCATCCCTCACACGCTTGTTTCATATAGCCAGTCAGTGTTTCACATGTCAAAAGTGAATTTGATGACTGCTAGGCAATATTACTACTTAAGGACATACCTTCTTTCCAAATAGCCTAACCTAAAGTGCTATGCTTGTAATGACACAGAGCCATAGATGATATGAAGGAAACTCTCTCTTTTTAGTTCCTTTAACAATATTTTTCTATTTGCATGCAGGTGCACATATGTTTGTGTGCGTTGTTGTGCCATCAATGGCAAAAGGGACTGAAATGATCTTTTTATTCCTTGTGACCTCCCACTGCAACAGCATCACTCACTACCTTGGTGCATGCGCTCGTAAGATTAGACCACTGTAATGCGCTCTACATGGGACTACCTTTGAGGCTGATGCAGAAACTCCAAGTGGTGCAGAATGCGGTGGCCAGACTCTTTAGTGGAGTGAGAAAATACCAACACATTTCTCCAACTCTGGCCGCACTGCATTGGCTGCCCATTCTGTTCCACATTGACTTCAAAGTGTTGATGCTTATGTATAAAGCCCAAAACGGTTTAGGGCCTCGATATTTGTCGGAATGCCTACTATCACCAAGATCTACCCGTATCACTCGATCGAGTCAGAAGGTGAGGTTGAGGAGCCTAACGCCGAGGGAGGCCCAAAAGGAAAAAACAAGAAATCGAGCCTTCCTGGCGGTGGCTGCTCGCCTCTGGAACAACCTCCCTCCAGAGATTCGTGCGGCCCTGTCACTGGGTATTTTTAAGCAGGCCTTCCCTCCAGTTAATACTTAATTCTTCTTTCTTCGTTTATCTTCTGTTATCTTTCCATCTTGAAGAATCTGTTTATTGTTTATTGTTCTTAAAAAAATTATTTTCGTATATGTACATGTTATTCTTTATTTGTCTGGAAGCCACTTAGAGTGGTCGCAATGACCAGATAGGCGGGGTGTAAATAAAATAAATAAATAAATAAATAAATTGCTCTGTTTTTTCAAAACATTCTATGTTCAAAAAACATGGAACACAGTAACATTCCCAGTTTTGTTCTTTATTATGGGTCAGGTGATTTCTTGTTTGTGCAGAATATTTATGAAATACAGTGCTGTTAAGAAATGTCCTCTTGCAATTGTTCCACAGTTACCTTTCCTGCTTCGAGTAGGATGTGGTGGTCTAATGCTTGCATGCAACACTATAATGTGGACTTTCTTTGCCAAGGCTCTGAGATATTCGTCATCCTCAGCTGCTGCCACTGTGACTTCAACAGCTGCCAACTTCATATCTTCTGTGAGTACAAAAGACACCATATAGCTGCACCACATGATTGGTCCATGCACATGCTGTTGTTAAGCAATTTCATATAGCTGCTACAGATGTTAATCCCAGAAATAATTTAAATGATATCAAAAGGATACAGAGCATTATACAGTGCCTGTATGGGTAGATCTCATATTTGTAGTCTTTTTTTTCTTTTGTAACACAGAGATCATGAATGCAAACCACATGCTGACAAGCACATCTATCTGTAAATTCTATTGAAACCAATAGGGCTTACTCTGGATAAGTGGGCTTAGTTTAAAAACAATTGACACCAAACATACATTAACCTAATATAGAAGCAAAATCACAACTAACCCTTGTGTATTATGACATACATAAATATAGGTAAAGGTAAAGGTTCCCCTTGACAATTTGTCCAGTCATGTCTGATTCTGAGGGGCGGTGCTCATATCCATTTCCAACCCATTGAGCTAGCGTTTGTCCGAAGACAATCTTCCGTGGTCACGTGGCCAGTGCAGCTAGACACAGAACACCGTGACCTTGCCACCATAGTGGTACCTATTTATCTACTCGCCTTTGCATGCTTTCGAACTGCTAGGTTGTTGAGGAGCTGGGACAAAGCGATGGGAGCTCACTATGTCATGTGGATTTGATCTTAGGACTGCAGGTCTTCTGACCGTGCAGTACAGAGGCTTCTGCAGTTTAACCTGCAGTGCCACCACGTCCCTTGTGTAATATGACATACATAAATATATATAATACCAAAAGAGATAGTGCTGTAGTGGTTAATGGCTCGGAGTGCCAAGTTCAAATAATCATTTGGCCAAGAAACTACCAGGTGACCATGAACTAGTAACACCGTCTCAGCCTGACCTAACTCATATAATGGTTCTGAAGATAAAATGGGGAACAGAACTTTCTAAACTGCCTTGAACTCAATGGAGGAAAGACAGGATATCAATGTACCTATTGTCAAAAAGTATGCTTTTTTTGTTTTGATTTTGCAATTTGCATTTTTTGTTAGCATATACAACCTGGATTGATACCCAATACTGGGTTTTTTCCCAAAGGCCCTATCTTGCTGATGATAGGATATGAAATTTCGTGTTTCTGTATTGGCCCCACAACATTTCTAATACATTATTTCTTATATTTTCAAATTCCACATCAAGTGTGAAACTCATATTTGTTGTTGTTTAGTCATTAAGTCGTGTCTGACTCTTCCTGACCCCATGGATCAGAGCAGCCAGGCCCTCCTGTCTCCCACTGCTTCCCGGAGTTGGGTCAAATTCATGTTGGTCGCTTCGGTGACACTGTACAACCATCTCGTCCTCTGTCGTTCCTTTCTTCTCTTGCCCTCACACTTTTGCAACATTAGGGGCTTTTCTAGGGAGTCTTCTCTTCTCATGAGATGGCCAAAGTATTGGAGCCTCAGCTTCAGGATTTGTCCTTCCAGTGAGCACTCAGGGTTGATTTCCTTCAAAAGGAATAGGTTTGTTCTCTTTGCAGTCCAGGGGACTCTCAAGAGTCTCCTCCAGCACCACAATACACACTCCAAATACATTTACATGGTTCTTTTGGATGTTGTCTTGATACATTTGTTTACTTATATTCAATGAGGATGAGATGAAAGACTGGCAGGAAATAGATGTGCTCCAGTTTGCCCTGCTTTCAGAGACCCCCACTGTCCCTTAATTCCAGGTTTTACATGACAGGATGGTCAAGATTCCACCCATCACTCAGTCCAAGTCTCCTGGGTGAATCAATTCAACGCCAGTCTTCTTGTGTCCTTGTTCTCTCTCGTGCTCCACTTTAGCTCAGAGGTCTCTTTCAAGCTGCCACAGTATTTTGAATTGATGCTCTCTTCTCCAGAACAATAACTGGGTTGGAGTTCGGGGTTAATGCAGCTGGAGCCAGGCTATATTCTCCTTGGCATGGACACAGTCCTCCCCATAGGATACTGGACATCAGACTGGTCTATTCGTCCCTAGGTCAAATCATGGTGGGATCACTGAGTGCTTGAATTCTCAGCAGGATGTTCTTATGTAATACTTGTGTAGCCATAATAAGGCATGACTTCTGGACACTAAGGACTCTTCTGCCACATTGGCCATACCTGAGGGTCAGTCCACACTTCTCTTTCCTTCTCCTACACGTCTCCCCTCTTTCCCTTCCTAACATTCCACTCCTCTTTTAAACTGCCCCTCCTTCCCTTCCCAAAGGTTATTTCTGCTTCCTGCCTTCAAGGACTTCNTTCTTCTTCTTCTTCTTCTTCTTCTTCTTCTTCTTCTTCTTCTTCTTCTTCTTCTTCTTCTTCTTCTTCTTCTTCTTCTTCTTCTTCTTCTTCTTCTTCTTCTTCTTCTTCTTCTTCTTCTAGCTATTTGTCTATGTATTTACCCCTTCAAGGACTTCTGGCGTCTGCCCAGCCACCCAGACCATCCTCTACTGAGGGTTCATCCCATCTCAGGTAGTGTCATGGTGAAATGTGCTAGACATACCCCCTCTGTTAAGCTGGTGCTCAAGGGGGTAGTAGAAGGCATTGAGGTGGATGAGTCGATAGCCTCCCATTCACATAACAGCAAATTGAGTTCTCTACATACTGGTTATTATGTGTGCATGTAACAGCATGCATATTCAAGAGAGAAGGTATTGATGTGTTTGGGGAAGTTATTAATATGGGGTTGCCCTCACTAGGTGTAGGGTTGCTTCTTCTGTCAACTGGGTGCATGGTAGTTTATACTATTTCTCAAACAATATAGTCTTTTCAGTCTTAAAATTTTTTATAACCATACATGGGCCAAAATTCTGTTGCTAATTTATGCTGATGAAATGCCATTGGTGTAAATGCAGTGCAACAAATTGCCACTAATTAATGAGACTTTGCTTGGATTCCTGATCACACACCAAGCTCTCCAACTTGCATGCAGTATGTGCTGCTGTGAATTACACCGTTGTCCTTCCACCAGCATAACCCTGCAACAAGGTTTTGTTCCATTCTTTTTCATATCTCTGCAAAGTGCATTTCAAAGGGCACATCCTAACCTACCATAGCTTCCAGGTTTCTGTGGGTTTTAAGGTGGGTCCAGTGTATGATGAGTTCATAATACCTGGGAATGGAAGCCCACATTTAAGGCATCTGCTTTTTGGCTTGGGATGATGACCTCCTTTTTCTTTTAGGCTTTTCTTGGAAAATTGCTGTTTGGAGAGACCCGTGCCCTGTTGTGGTGGATAGGGATATCTGTTACCCTCCTTGGACTTCTGCTGCTTCACACTGGGCCATCTCCACTGGGAGAGCAAAAGAACCTGAAAGAGAAGATGAAGTAGAAACCAGAAGCCCTTTCCATTTGTAACACAGGCCAGAAATTCCACCAGGCCAAAACAAAAACAGGCTTTCTTGCTTCTTTTGCCTAGTGCGCACATATTTTCTCTGTTTTTGTTTCCA